TGGATAATCTGATTAAATTTCCAATTGTATATCAAAGGCGGCAGCGGTGCTTGAATCTCAGCTCAATCTGAAAAGTTTTCATTCTTAAGAGTAGATGACGGTCAAGCCTGGTTTTTGGTATCATTTGATAAAAATGAAGTTAGCTGACTTTTAAATCAATTATCATATGGCCAATTAAAGTTACATTTTAGAATTTAAAATTTAACTTATTTTTTTTATCTTTAAAATTCGATATCTAAGTATTTTCTAATATTTTTCTAAAATTATTTTTAAAAAATCACAAAGTAGATGATGTGGAGGGATGGGCATGGGACCTGAACCCAATGGGTTCTGATTCGACCCGACCCGATCGGGTCTAGTTTTAAAAAAAAAATCGGGTTCGGGTTTAGGGTGAAAAATACTCGACCCGAAAAAAATATAATTTTACCTTATATATTTAGGAATAATTACAATAATACCCCTCTATATATTATTTTTTAATTAAATCACTATTTTTATTGAATGAAAATAATATTTTTTTATTATTATTTCGGGTCGGGTCGGGTAAAATCTTATTTTGGTGGGGTCGGATCTCGGGTGGAGGATTCATTGATCTTGGGTCAGGTAGGATGGACCAAAAACCCGACCCATGTGGCTTGATTTTTGGGTTTTATCAGACAAGTGCATAAGTCACTAGCAGATTTGGAACAAGGTTTAACTCTTTGACCTGAAATTAATTTCATACTGAACTTTTTATTGAACTTATTTTTTAATTTGCAAACGGCAACGTAGGTTTTAAAAAGCAAGCTTTTTGTGGAAAAATATTCTGAGACTGTCCAATATACCTTCCTGGATTACCTAGCTGCTGGTTGTGAGCTGAACTTTATGGTTGCCGTTGATTTCACTGGTACTTTCCCGTTTACTCGTATAATTGACATTAGGCCCAGTAAAATTCTGCCCATTGCAATCCTTTATGTAAATTATTAGCGATGTCTCTTCTTCAATCTTTTTCTTGTTAAGTTGACAACAAAACATGCCACATCTTCAATAAAGTTAATCATGGGACCAATATAAACAGAAAAGCTGAACCACAGCAAACTTTTTGGGGAAAAAAGTTTAGTTAAACAAACTGTTTGTAAGAACCATTTCTGCCAAGTATATAGGTCTTTGGTTAGAATGATGCCGCAGTTCTTCATCTAAGGACCTTAGGATTTACATGTGTGAATCTGAAACTGTTGAAGTCATATGGATGAATGTGGAAAGCATCATGCTGCATGTGCAGTTCTTCAGAAGTACCATAATACATTCTTACCTTTTCCTTTTCTTTCTTAGTTGTGGTCTATCAGCTTCAAATGGCAACCCCCGCCTCCCTGATTCCTTGCACTATATTGATCCATCAGGACGGCTGAATGCATACCAGAAAGTAAGAATCGAATCTCTTTAATACTTTCCTTTTCTTCCGTTTCTTTGTATACCCGAGAAAATGTTATGTATCTTTCAATCCAGGCAATCTATGAAGTTGGGGAGGTATTGCAGTTTTACGATGCAGACAAGCGCTTTCCGGCTTGGGATTCGGAGCACGGCCCATCGATGGTCCAGTTTTTTGTTGTTTCGACTTGAATGGAAGCAGCAACTACTGTGAGGTAAGCAGTTGCTAGCGTCAATCTAATTTCAGACTCTGTTCCCCTACATTATCAAAATATCATTGTCTCCAGGTTGAAGGAATCCGAGGAAGTATGATGGCCTATACCAGTGCCCTTTTTAACGTGTCTCTTGCAGGACTAACACTGTTTGGGCATGTGATTAACAGAGCTGCAATGATTGCCAGCCAATCCCTGGCCCATGATGCTAAAAAATACTTTGTTTTGTTGATAATCACGGTAAAATCTTATCATTAGACATTCTATTAGAAAAGGTTGCTGCTGATTTTGCCACGGTTTCTGATAGTTGTTAATATTGCTCTAGGATGGGGTAGTAACTGATCTCCAAGAAATCAAAGATGCCCTCGTCAAGGCATCGGATCTCCCATTGTCGACCCTCATCGTCGGAGTCGGGGGAGCCCACATCAAAGAAACGGAGGTACTTACTACCGAATATCCCCACTTATATCCTTTTGAGGGAAAATGATGTCTTTAACGGAGCACTGTTTACAGATTTTAGATGCAGACACGGGGGAAAGACTGGAAAGCTCGACCGGACGAGTTGCTTCCCGAGATATCGTGCAATTTGTTCCGTTCAGGGATGTACAGAGTAAGTCATTTACTCATTCCGACGCTTACGAACTGTTCCATAGTCGGGGGATATGACAACCAGCTTTACTTGTTGCATACTGAAGGACTTCTGTTGTTCAATCACTTGTGGCAGAATTACCAACACAATTTTTAACCTACACGCGAAGCAGAGATATCAAACCAAACAGTCAGTTTTCACATGTCCAAAGATTGTTCATATCGAAACTTGGCTTAAAAGAGACGATGGAATATATTGGCATTGCGGCTTTGGGTTGAAGATTCATCGGTCAACATAAAGAGGGCTATCGGCACACAGACTGATTTAGAATGGGCGACTACCAAGGAAAGAGTGCCAAAAACAATGGAAAATTAATGGGCTTTTACCTATCTATAAATCAAATATTACAATAACAATTAAATCAACCGCAATGAATCGAGGAAAAAAATCCTTTAAAGCCGGACTATGTAACGCTTGTATTGTGATGTTCGTATGAAATTAAATTTATAAGATTTGGATGAATCTCAAAGTAAAAAAAAGGATATTTTATATTCCGAATTTATATGAAGAAAAAAGAAAGGTGAGCTGGAAACGTATATATAAAGAGGAGACTTTGACCAAGGAGTGGGCCTCAGTGGGGCTGAATATGCAAATAATACAAAGTATGTCTTGTCTTCGTATTTCAAGTCAAGGCAGAGTCAACCCTATTTGGAGAAAAGAAAATTGAACAAGCATTCTTAATTCAGACTAGAAATTCTAGAAATAATATTTTTTTAAAAATGAAATAACGTTTTTCAGTATTAATTTTTTTGGCATTAATAACAATAAAATAATTTTTTTTTTTATACAAGTATGTTTGTCTTCGTATTTCAAGTCAAGGCAGAGTCAACCCTATTGGAGAAAAAAAATTGAACAGCATTCTTATTCAGACTAGAAATTCTAGAAATAATTTTTTTTAAAAATGAAATAACGTTTTTCAGTATTAATTTTTTTGGCATTAATAACATAAAATAATTTTTTTTGTTTTCTAAAAAAGTATTTTAAAAAATAAAGATATATTTTCAAAATTAATTTCCAACATTTACTCGAATAATCATTTTAGTTCATATTATTTTCTTAGAACATTTTAAATTGATCATTATTAGATGAAAATTATTAATTGACTAACGACGATCAACACATATTGTTGACTTGACATTTGTATAGGTGTTAAATTATTAATGTATCATATATCACGTTGTCCAAAATTATAACATAAAATATATCACTCAAAATGATAATATGACGAATTATATTACTTAAAATGATGATATTACACCGATAAAATCAATCGCGCATTAGGAGAAAACTTAATTCAAACTATAAATTTTTAGAAATAACATTTTTCTTATAAAATTTAAATAACGTTTTCCCGATACTTTTTTTTGCATTTATAAATACAAAATAAATATAATTTTATTTCCTTAAAAAGATAAAAGCATGTTTTGAAGGTATAATGTCAAAAATAATTCATAATATTTGTTCGAATGGACGTTTTGGTCTTTATTTTTTTTAAACATTTTAACTGTTAATATTTTAATTTTCCATTAAAATGACCTATATTGAATGAAAATCATTCATGTTGCTAACGTAACATTTTCATATGTGCTAAATGACTTATATCACAAATAAGTATCTAAGTATATTCTTTTTTTCATTTAAGTACCTAAAGTGTTTTTTAGCAAAATAAATACCTAAAGTTATATTTTTAGTCAAAATAAGTACCTAAACTATTCAAAATTTTTCATCTAAGTTCTAAAAAGGTTGACATTGGACATTAATTAAAGAATACTTTAGGTACTTAGATGAAAAAATTTGATTACTTTAGGTACCTATTTTGATTTAAAAAAAATACTCCAGATACATATTTTGACCAAAAAGATCACTTTAAGTACTTATTTTTATAAAAAAATACTTTAGATACTTTTTTTGAACATTACTTTATATACTTAAATGCAAAAAATAATATATTTTAGTTACTTATTTGATATATAAGCCATGTAAAATTACTAATATGTCATATATCATATTACCCAAGATGATGGTGTGACATGAGCTATGTCACCGAAGATAGTGACGTGACACATGTTACGTGATCCAATGAATGTTGTGATGTGTGAAACATCAATAATTAAACATATGAAAATATCATGTTAGTAACAAGCGCCGACCGTTAGTTAAATAACAATTTTCATCTAGTAAGAATTATTTTGATCAAAAATTAAAATGCTGGAGACTGCTCTAGAAAAGAAAAAATAAATAAATAATAATTTAAATAAATATCGGGACTAATTTTAATGTTATACCAAATATTAAAAAGTACATTAACATGTAATAATAGTTACAATGAAAACAATTAATATTTGTTTGATCATGGGAAAACAATAATAAAAACATTTAATTAATATTACACTTCTTTATTATCATGAAATATAAGTAAATGTTATTGATATTTACACAATTTACTTCATTTTTTAATATATATATATATATAAAGACAGGAAATTAAATAAAAAAATTTATATATATTTGTTTTATATATAGAGAGGTTAGGGTTTTCAGCATTTTCAGCTATCTTCATCCTTTGTTCACACTTCAGTCGTAAGCAGACGTTTCTCCACTCTTTGCATCTCTCGTGTTGGCTGTAGCAATTCATGTTTTGTCTGTAACTGTTTGTTTCCTCCCTTTACCTTCATTTTCTCTTCTATTTAATTATTCCCATGTCGATTACTTTGCTTCATGTTGAGAGAAAAAAAAACTATATACACTATATAATCTTTGTTTTCGGTTTTGCATGAGAGAAAATAACAGATAAGCTAGGGGGAATCTCGGAAGACTCAAAGGTGGATCGACGACAAGGGAAGAGGCCGTTGCCGTCCGATCATGAATCGGAAGCGAAAGAGGAAGCCGCCGTCCATCAGTTCTACGCGGCTAGGTCTCAACAAGAGACCAGTGCCATGGTTCAAGCCCTAACTCAAGTTATTGCCAACGATAACAATCCACTGCTTCTTAAACTTCATCGTTATGATCAAAATCAATCTCAGCATCAACAAGTTCAACCTCAAGGTATAACTGTTTCTGGGTTAATTTGATTGCAATTGAATAACGGTGATAATTGATAAACCCTAATTGGATTGTGTCTCGTAATGATTTCAGAAATGGACTTGGATGATCTATTAGTTTAGCTTTAAAAACTGTATTATTATTGTGTTTGAAGGAAAGGTGAGGAGAATGCAGTATAGAGGCGTTAGGAAAAGGCCATGGGGCAAATGGGCGGCTGAAATAAGAGATCCGAACAAAGCTTGTCGCGTCTGGCTCGGAACCTTCGCAACAGCCGAAGCGGCCGCCTCAGCTTACGACGAAGCTGCTCTTAGGTTTAAAGGAAGCAAAGCCAAGCTTAACTTCCCCGAAAGAGTTCATCGGAAACCCGAATCCGGTTGTCTCACAACTAGCTACGAAGTCCAACCGCCGCTAGCTTTACTTCCTACTCCTCCACCACCACCACCACCATTTTCCGATCAGTACGCACAGCCACAGCTTCTTGGCGGCGGAAGCAATGGATTAAACTATGGTTTATCAGGTGGTGAATATGGTGGAGCTTTCAGCACAACCCTATCTTCATCTTCCACAATGTTAACATCTCGACAGCAACTACAACAAGAGGAATTGTAGTTCGGTGGCTCATCTCCGAGTCCCGATCCTGCTAAGAACAAGGGAGCGAATTATGATTATTACTACTCAATAAAATAGTTCAACTGATTTCAGGTTTGCTTCTTAATTTTGGAGAAATTGAACTGACCAAAATGGTCTTCTGGATTTCTTTTTTCTTTTTTGCTTGCATTTAGCTTCCTTATCAGCTCCTTTATTTTCGAAATGAAAAAAAAAATCCTTTAGGAAACTATGAACGAAGGTGCATTAACTTTAGCTTCTTTGCATTCAAGAAACCCGTGGGGATAAGATAAATTCTAGGGGATGAGAATCCGGTTACATAGACAGGTTTAAAATTAGAATCTTAATGATATGATACAAAGTTTTATTAAAAGTTACAAAATGATAATTCGACTATTCATATATTTCAAAATTATTATTTTCATTGAAAAATTAATAGTCGTATGTTATTGACATTAAATAGTTGAATAGGATATGGTAAAAGCATATTTTAATTATGTATACGAGCACCGTCGGTGCTTTCAAGCACTAGCTCAACGACATAATGTAAACAAAGATTCGATCCATAAAATACAACTCAAACGATTCTATGATCAAACTTTATCATATCTCAACCACCATGTAAACGTTAAGCTCTAACCGATACTTATTTTTAACGGAAAAAGGACGATTTGGAACATATGAATAGTCAGATGATCATTTTTTTTTGTATATTTTAATAGTTTGATGACTTTACAAAATAGTGATTTATAATCAGTGAATCATTTTATAACATTTAATGATCGAACAACTCAACAAAACATTGTCTCGACTATTCGTATACTTTATCCAATTACAAATCATCTAATATCTAAATACATACGGTAAAGATATGCTATAGGATACTTATATGCCAACTCTTATAAAGTACACATCTAACTACATTTAGTTCTTAAATACTGAAGTATTTGATTAAGCTTTAATTACTATTATATTATTTTCTTAGCACACAATAATTTAATTTAATTATTTAGATGATAAAATTTATTTTAAAATTTTTAAATTCAAATAGATATATTTATGAAATATATATGTTATGAATAAATTAAGAAAGTTGTGTACATTTCTGCACGAAATAATTACGCGCAGTAGCACATCCATATATCTTCGCTGCACCAAGATTTGGAGCCAAGTCTTCATGTGCTTAAGTATGACTTGTAAAAGTTCTTTTTGAATAGATAAACAAGAGGTTAAACGTTTAACTAAGTGAGGTGAAACATGTTACATTGAAATATCCATTAATTCATATTATAATTAATTTTTTTTTATTAACATAGGAAGCGATAGTTTATGTTCTAAAAATTTCTATAATTTCACAACGAATGTCTAAATACTCTATAGTCTTTGATGTTCGAATTTAAATATCTAAAAATAATAATTATTCTTTTAACAACTTAGACAATTTGATTCGTGCTGATATCATAATTAGCTAAAACGATTAAATCGGTGATTCTAATATTACGACAGCTATTATCATTGATCATGATAAAATTAAACATCGGAATGGGATGTGATAAATTAACGGCGGAGACTGAGAGCAGAGCTCTCTCGCAGGCAAATTCTCCACCATGGCTGTCGTGTCGGGTATTGGAGTCAAACTTTGCGGCAACCGCCACGTACCCTTTATGTTTTGTTTTTACGCGTTGACTTACAAATATATTCACTCTGACTCCGTCGCCATGCCAAAGTCCAGACCTATTATCTGCATTCCCACACCAAAAGCACATACCAAGTTCTTCACCAATTATTCCATCTTTTCCTCCTCTTCTTTCTTGTTCTTTTTTGAGGATAACTCTATCAAAGTTCTGAAATTATGTTGAGTCGAACAAGATTTTCAATTACGTAGAGCGTTATCAACAACTTCAATAATATTTGGGGGTAAACTACACATTTAATTCATAAATTATCAGTTTCAGTGCGTTTTAGTACCTAACCTTTCAATTTTTTCAAAAAAAATACCTAACATTTATTTTCATTTCATATTACTGTCCCGCCATTAAAGCCTTAGCGCGTTTAGTACATAAAATATCAATTTTGGTCCGTTTTAGTACTTAAACTTTTAATTTTTTTAAAACTCAATGTTAAATTTTAATCGAGATATTAAAATTGAATAGAAATTAAAGTTTCTAACGACATGTACTAAAATGAAAAACCATATATATTTTTTCTCTAAAATTGCTCATAAAAAGGTAAATTATTTTAAATAATCTCGTAAGCAGTGACAAATCCAGAAATTTATAAATGTAGATAAAAAAATCTAATATTATTTTTCTTAATTAACGAATATATAAAATTTCTTATTTTTTTAATATATTAAAAAAAATTAGTTGACCCTTATTCCCATATGTAAGGGGGTAAAAGGGAGGTATGATAGTAGGCTGCCCCTAACACCCGATTGAGAGCAGCTTCCGTAGGAGACCTCCGAATTATGAAATGCCTTCCGTGGGACTCGATCTCACGACCCCAAGGTTAAGATAATAACTAATCTAAAAGAATGAATATGCATTTGTCCACATGAGGCCATATACCTCCGCCCCTGCTCATACGGGTGGGGTCAATTGTTTCTAGAAGGGAAACAAAATCATTCGAAGGGAAAAATAATTGGAAAACCATGCACTTGTCAAAAGTGAGGCCGACGCGTTTATGAAGTTCGTCAACATATTATTTTGGGGAACATTTCATAATATCTTATACCAATATATTAACGTTCTTTTCTAGAAGGATAATACTAGCAATACAATCCTATTAATTAGAAAATATAGAGGTAACCCATATAAATTATCATAATAAATAAAATTAATCAATATATATTCAATTTAAAATATTTTAAAATAAAATTAATCTTAGTAGTAAAAGAGAATATTATACTCTTTAAATGTATTGAGTTCGAGCAAATATGTTTACGTAAATTATATAATTATTCACTTTAAACTGTTAAAAAAAATAAAACTAAAGCATAACAAAATTTAATCTAAAATAAATTTATATAATTTACGTACGATCAAGTTGGAACTTGAGTGACTTTTCAAGGGTGAAAGGACCCTCTTTTGTAATAGAGAAAATATAGAATTAGGGTTTTGAACTCCGACGAAAATTGGGCTCCGCTTTCTTGGATCGACACCCTAATAAAAGGGCTTAGAATAAGATGGTTCATCGAGTGCAGCAAACATAGTCTGGGCTTTTGATTTTAGATTTGCTTTATGATAATAATATTTAGAGTAAATTACACGTTTAGTATTAAAATTATTATTTTTATTTGTTTAACTATTTGTTGTTTCAAAATCATATTTAATATTATGTTTTAATTCTATTTTTTATTTACTTTTAAAAAATTAATGTTGATGCTAACGTGTAACCATAAAGTAAAGTCACATCGTCGTCGTAAAAATTTTAAAAATGTTATATCAATATGGTAGGTGACCAAATTAAAACTAAAATATAACACTAAATATAATTTTGAAAAAAAATAATAAGTTGGTGACCAAAATTAGAACGAAAATGATAATTAGGATATTAAATATATAATTTACCTAGGATTTAAGAGTCAATGAATAAAGATATATTAACAAAATTACCTCCAACATTTGCACAAATGATCATTTTAACCCTCAGCGTTTTATTTTGGAGTAAAATCTCTCCCATTAAATGAAAATTGTTAGTTGACTAATTACTAATGTTTTATATAGACGTGACAAGTCTATATGTAATGTCACTTCAGTGAAAAAACATTTTTAAATAAACTATAATTATAATTAATTACATATACACTTATAAAAATATATTTAAAAATAATTTACAAATATTTTTGATGACGTGACATCACATGTGGACCCACCACATCAATAGGAAACGTTGACCGTTAGTCAACTAACGATTTTCTTTCACCCAAATGACATTTTATTCTAACACAAAATGTTAAAGACCGAAATGCTTAAAAATAGGATAAGAGATAAAGGGATCATTTGTACACATGTTTAAGGTAATTTTATTATTATGCGATGAATAAAGTGATGTATACTAATATCATGAAGTTTACTTATGTCAAGAAGGTTTGGTTCAAAAGTACTAAATAACGTTTAGATGGCCGAGTTGATCCAAGGCGCCAGTTTCAGGTACTGGTCCGAAAAGGGCATGCGTTCGAATCCCATTATTGAGAAGACTTTTTATTTTAAATTTTGAAGTATAAAACTCTAATAAGCTCCCTGCGCATGCTAGTATATAACAATTTTAGGCTTAACGAATTCTTCTAATGATCATATTGTAATATTACATTTTTATTAGTTTATTTTAATTATTTATTCGTTTTTTTTTTAAGTTATAGCTAAATTATTCGTTAGTACGGCGCTGGTTGGCGCCACCGTTGCTTCCCCGCGGAGAGGAAGGTTCCACGGAAGAATTGCTATCAACATTGAGCGCCCAACGCACAAACAAAATCGTATCTTTCAAGGCACTCAAAATATCTAACAGGACCACCATCGTTAAAGTCTTTAGATATTTACCAAAGTTTTGTGGAATCTCCATCAATGCTGGCGAAAACGACTGCAGAGGTCGAAAAGGTATCAGATAAGAAGAAGATGGGAGAGAATATCTTAATGGTTAAAGCACTTCCAAATCAAAAGGAGTCAGCGGCGTTGAAAGCTAAACTACATGGCGAGTAATAGCGATAGTAACGTCACTAACCGGGATGCTTTCCGTCAAGCCGTCGTTAACACCCTCGAACGACGGCTATTCTATGTACCGTCGTTTAAGATTTACGGCGGAGTTGCCGGGTTGTATGATTATGGGCCACCCGGATGCGCTGTTAAGGCCAACGTCCTAGCTTTCTGGCGTCAGGTTAGAATTCGTTTAGTCTTATGGCAAAAGAATTAGTCGTTTGCTTAACAGTTTCGAGTTCTTTTGTTATCGCAGCATTTTGTGTTGGAAGAGAACATGTTGGAGGTGGACTGCCCGTGCGTGACGCCAGAAATTGTGTTGAAGGCATCGGGCCATGTCGATAAATTCACGGACCTGATGGTGAAAGATGGGAAAACAGGAGCCTGTTACCGTGCCGATCATTTGCTGAAAGATTTTTGCAAAGAAAAGCTAGAGAAGAAGGATGTTAGCATCACAGCCGACAAGGCTGCTGAGCTGAAGCATGTTCTGGCTGTGTTGGATGACCTTTCTGCTGATGAATTGGGTGAAAAGATTAAGGAATACGCCATTGTTGCTCCAGATACTAAGAACCCGCTTTCTGATCCCTACCCTTTTAATCTCATGTTCCAAACCTCTATCGGTCCATCTGGGTTGAGCCCCGGGTGAGTTTCGGGTTCAGTTACATACCCTTTTTTTAGCTTCATTCGTGTGTCGTGTTACTCAGACTCGGGTATGAAAAATGAAGAGTCGGAGCAACATAGTTTGTGTGTAAGGAGTCTTGATTCGAATGTTTCAAAATATGCAGGTTTATGCGGCCTGAGACAGCTCAAGGCATATTTGTTAACTTCAAGGACCTGTATTACTATAATGGAAATAAGCTCCCTTTTGCTGCTGCACAAATTGGTATGGCGTTTAGAAATGAGGTATAGAACTTTTAATACATGGTACATATTGTTTGTATTTCCTTCTGATCATATCAAGTGGTAGGGATAGGGGTTATTCTGGAAGTGAAATGGCTAACATTTCATACTGCAGATATCTCCCCGACAAGGTCTATTGAGAGTCCGCGAATTTACGCTAGCTGAGATCGAGCATTTTGTGGATCCTGAAGACAAGTCACATCCCAAATTTCCCGAAGTTTCGAATTTGGAGTTCTTAATGTTCCCAAGGGAGAAGCAAGTGTCTGGACAGCCGGCAGAAAAAACATGCCTCGGTGAAGCAGTTTCAAAGGTTTGTTGGTTCAAGTCCAGTTTAATTTCAGCCTATTTTTGCATCATGTAGTCACAATTTATTGTTTGTTCATAACTGCTCAGGGCATTGTCAACAATGAGACACTGGGGTATTTTATCGGAAGGGTGTATCTTTTCTTGACATATCTGGGTATCGACAAAGATCGATTACGTTTTAGGCAGCATCTGGGGAATGAGATGGCTCACTATGCTGCAGACTGCTGGGATGCTGAAATAGAATGCTCTTATGGCTGGATCGAGTGCGTTGGTATCGCAGATAGATCTGCTTACGATTTGCGAGCTCACACGGTAAGCAAACAATATAACTTAAGATATTGATTAACCTAGTTATACAGAACTGACTGGTATATTTCATGCATGTTTCTTGTACTCTATGATAGGATAAGAGTGGTGTTCCCCTTGTGGCACATGAAAAATTTGCAGAACCTAGGGAAGTGGAGGCAAGTCTCTGTTTTTATCAGTTATAACTGGGTGTATCATATATGTTGTTGCCTAGCTGTTTTTATCATATAACTGGGTGTTTCTTGGGCTGTGATTTCAGAAACTCGTCATCGTGCCGGTAAAAAAGGACCTCGGCCTTGCATTCAAGGGTGACCAAAGAATGGTTTGCGAAGCACTCGAGGTAAATAAAAACGAAATAGTTATTGATCGGTGCACTATGCAAACAGAGGGTGGAACATTATGCTGCATTTCCTGTTTGTATGCAGGCCATGAGTGAAAAAGAAGCTATGGAAATGAAAGCTGATTTGGAGTCCAAGGGAAAAGTGGAGTTCCATGTATGCACTCTAGCTAAAACTGTTACTATAAGGAAGAGCATGGTGACAATCGCCAAGGAAATAAAGAAGGAACATCAGAGGGTTTTCACTCCATCAGTGATCGAGCCATCTTTCGGTATCGGACGAATAATCTACTGTCTTTACGAGCATTCGTTTTACACAAGGCCCAGCAAGACCGGTGATGAGCAGTTAAACGTTTTCCGTTTCCCTCAGATCGTAGCACCGATCAAATGTACCGTGTTTCCACTAGTGCAAAATCAAGAATACGAGGAAGTTGCTAAACACATTGCTCATATGTTAACTGCTGCTGGGATATCATATAAAATTGATATTACAGGTATGCACCGATGTTGCTAAACAACCAGTCTTGGATTTGCGGTCAAACCAGATGAATTTAGATGGACTTGTTTGTATTTTTCCATCTACAGGTACGTCTATAGGGAAGCGTTATGCTCGAACGGATGAACTTGGTGTACCGTTTGCCGTAACAGTGGATTCAACTTCCTCGGTGACAATCCGGGAGAGGGACAGCAAAGTTCAGATCCGTGTTAACGTGGAGGAGGTAGCGAGTGTGGTGAAAGAAGTGACAGAAGGTCAAAGCACTTGGAATGACATGCTCTCGAAATACAATGCTCCACAGGTTCCGGACGATGAATGACCTGAACCCTAGAGATTTTAGCTCTGCTAGTTGCATATGGACTGTGGAATGATTCTTCTATCATCCGGGTTTTACTTTTTTCAGTGCTCATCTTGTTAATATGGATCATACTGCTCTACTGGGATATTGGTTATTATACAGTGAGATTTGGAACTAAAGTTTGAGATTCAAATACGACTTTCCACACATTAGACAAATGCCTAACTAGTCACCCATCTCTCTTCCCTCAATTTAAGCAAGTCGCGAACAACTCGCGACGCTGTAAACGGAGCTAGAACCCGCGTCAGTGTTCCGTTCGAGATAACAAATGTAATAAGTAATCCCGAGAATCTTCCGGAGTCTGCACTACAAATTCTGGGAATTTTGAGTTGTTGAATGAAATCAAGCAATCTCACCCCATAATCTACCTTTTCATCTGTCAACCACTTTAACAAATGGAGAAGAAGTTTACAAAAAAGAAATGACAAATATTAACTAAAGAGCAAAGCCATGGAACTTCACTCAAGCTTGTGTAAAAGAGTTCGAATTTTACAGATTATGAAGGGGCAAAGTTTAGATTGAAACTAGATGCAGACACAGGCGCAGGCTTGAATTCATAAGGACCTTCCTTCGCTCCCCAAACCTGATTTCCATCGTCATCATAACCCCTATCCCAGGTATGTATCTCATTGTTCTTCAAAACCGACAATTCTGAAGTGCAGTGTGTTGCTCCATTCTGGTAGGAAAGCGAGGAAAAAAAATAGAAATGCATAAAACATCTTTCATTGCAATAGAAAAGATCCGGACTAATTACTTGTTAAATAATCATCCACCACAGTGATATGAGATAAATCATGTCGTTATCGTAGTCCGGATTGCAAGGTGCACCACAAAGTAAATGACAAACATGATTGAATGGTGAGGAATATACCCATGAATTTGGGAATCCGCCTGGTGGAGTTGAGCCTTCGTACAGACAGCGTTTCCCCCTCTCACAGCGTTTGAGATGTATAGTTGTCAGATGTTCAGCAACATCCTGTTAAAAAATGCAATATAATTAACAAAATGCGATGCAAAGTTGCTAAAATGGCTAAATCTCGGCATTCAACTTGAATCTAAACAGGATGATTATTGGTAGTTAAATTGCAAACAATTACCAACCACCTAATGGCCAAAAATGAAAACGATAAGCATAATAAGCCATAAGCAAGATAGAGACAGCCAATGTGCGGAACATGCAATTGAAACCCGAGAAAAGCTTCAAAATGCGTAAGAAAAATCAGAGGAACCATATACATGCCATGCACGAAAGATAATAATGTGAAAAGGCTTACATCAATAACTTCTTCAGGCAGAGGGCGTTGATCCCTTGCACGATCACAGAAATTCTTGTATTCATCCATGTCTCTAATCGCATAAGTACCTACCTGTGGCCGTAAAATATAAGTTGGAAATCAAAATGCCAGCTACTTCCAGTGGGATCATATGAACGTAATGGGTGATCGAATAGATATTTAAAAATTATAAGCAGATCAGTATAGGTGAGCTTGTTTATAAACCCCTCAAACATAAGTGAGATTGTTCCACAGTATGCTTTTCACCTAATATCCTAAATATAAAACCATTCAACAAAAGAGTAAGGTCTTATGACAAATCAGAGCAGATTCAAACCTCTACATCACACTTCAAATCTTTCGGACAGGGCTTCACCATGTAAAACCTCTGCAACCAAAAGACTATCAGAATAACATGAGATAAAAGCATTTCACCGAAAAGTGATGCGCCAAGAACAAAAAACACAAATTCACTAAAACTTTCATCATCATAGATCGTGTGCTCGGTGTATCCTTTCGCAACATAGATTACCTGCCGAAAAGGTTTATGGGGAGTCCTCCAAAATGCCTAGTCCATAAGAAGTAAAAACAACTAAATTGATGAACATTATGGAAAATCGAAAACAAAAGATCGAATCGGGCATTGCGTCGAACAAACCTGTTCCGAATATAAAACCTTTGAACCATCCGCCATCTCTGTTGCCGGGCAAGTAAGCGTTCTACAATGATAACATTTTCTTAATTTTAGCATTATATAAAACACACACACACATAAGCCATAACCTAAACTAATAAACAAAGGCTTATTGTTTCCAAAGATGCATATGCTTTCCTTCAAGCTGAACCAAACAAACATGTAAACTAAATTAATTTCTTTCGTTTTTCCCCCTGTATACACGAAATTATTACACGGTACCTGATGTTGAAGTAACTATCTGGATTTCTAGAGGCTTGCTCCTGCGAGAACTACCATTTGGAAAACAGGGATTGAGACGAAAACGAAATGAAAAATGCTAAACAAAATTTCATAAATCAAGATGAAGAACCTTCTCGCCGCTAAGAGAGCGAGCAAGGATTTTGGCGTGGTCCCTGCGAGTGGTGGATTTGGTTAACCTTTTGAGGAGAAGAGCGCCTCCAATCAAAAGCAGAGTCTTCAAAATCAAACCTCGAGCTCGACTCCATCCATTCGAGTCCGACTCCATCCAGAGTCTTCTTCTCACCTCACCCAAACACCCACCATTTTTTATGATTATTCCTTGTTTTTTTCCTTTTACAGAAATTAAGATTTTGTGAATGGAAAGGTGAAGGATTCGAAGCTTTTCGTCTTTCTGAAACGAAATGAAACGGATGGGGAATTGGGCTTTCTGGTGTGGAGCACTACGAGTGTTCTCAGCGTTTGCCACGTATTCATAACTGTAATTACTTTGAATGGCACACATTAATTTATAAACTGGACTAGGATCTATTGTAGAAATTTAATTTATTGATAAAAACTAATTTAATAGTAATTTTATTTTTTCTATAATAATTAATAATATTTAATTTTTTATTGTTTACAAAATTTCAGAAGATAAAAAATTATATATATATTTTTGGCCAATACACATACTGCTAACATTAACATTCACTAGAAGCAACGATATCTTCTTGAAGGATATACAAGATTTCGGTTGGGGGTTCCAAGAATTCATGTCCACAAATGTAGCACCAAGCGATCGGTCTGGGAGTGTTTTAACTGTTGGACAATGTTCCGAGCATCGCTTTCCACCGCAACCGTCGGAAGCTAGAAGTCCACTGCCATTCTGATGCCATGGTGGATCGCTAAAGCTTCAACTAAACTGGATGCCCGATGATCTGGTAACGGAATACCACAACCAGAAATAACACGTCCTGCAGAATCTCGAAGGATGACACCAATGGCCGGGGAAGACGGGGATGATGGAAAAGCGCTGTCGACGTTTATCTTGAATGTTCCAGGCGGTGGTTTTGTCCAGCGTTGCGGATGCAGCAAAGAGTTCCGTATACCAGTCGATGATACCCATGGCATTCGCATAGGCCAATTGAATACCATGGCCAGTAGCGATAAGTTACCAACCCCGGATGAGTTGTCCTTCATGGAAGAACAGGTTCCGGCGATGCCAAACCTTCCACAGCAGAACTAATAAAGTGATGAAACGAAGGACAGACAGCTGATTCATCTTATGATCTAACCAGGCACCAAACGACGGAAATAAGATGGGATCGTCTGGCAAGGAGAATATAGGGTGGACATCACCACAATCTCGTAATACATGGGATACTGTCTCGTAACAAGCCATTAGAGGAGACCATGCTATCATTCTCTCACTGCTCCATCCGAATTCGCTTTTATCCGATCATTTTCGGGCCGTCTCCACTCCGACTGGACAGGAAGGAAGTCATGCTTCGATTCTGCTGCATGTGCATTTGCAGATGCAAATTCATTTGTCAACCTTAAACAACACAAAATAAAGTCTTCTCTTTGCTCAAACTCATGATCAAACTGCGAGCTACACCTATCTTTCCACAACTGCCAACAAATTGTCGTAAAAATAATTGTCCGATAAAAAATATAAAAAAAAACTTCAATTATATAAACACTAGCAACAAAAATGTCTAATTACTGGTATCATTGCTTTAATTATGTTTTTGGTGCCTGCCATAAAAATTTGTCTCAACCACCTTATGCGCAAATGCACAAAATTATCATACCCAAGGTTATAGTTAAGCTACAAAGTTCACGCCTATTTGAGTTTTATCGTATACAAGTTATTAATGTGTATTTTACAAATTTTATTTGGATTTATTCTGATCTTGATTCAAATTTATTTAATTATTGTCCAAAGTTAACACCAACAGAAGATTTAGACAAATTTATTATCATAAGGGTAAATTACGTGTTTAGTATCTAAACTATTAGTTTTGGTTCGCTTTATACATAAATTTTCATTTTTTTTTCAAAATCATACCTAAAGTTTAAATTTTGATTTCATTTTAGTATCTTGTTTAAAATTTAACGTTAAATTTTAATTTTTTTTTAAAGTTTAGGTGCTAAAATAGAATAAAATTAATAGTTTAGATACTAAAAGCATTAAGTTTTTAACAGTGAGATGCTAAAATGAAATTAAAACTAAACATTAAATATAGTTTTTAAAAAATAAAGTTTAAATATTAAAATAGGTGATATAGAGTTGGATTATGTTGAAACCGTTGGGTTTGCCAATGGGCCTTGGCCCGAACCAAAGTCAATTAAGAAGATCATATACTAATATCCTTCATAAGCTCTGTTGCCGATTGGGCTTACGTGGGAATTAATGATTCATTTGTTACACGTGGCATTACGTCCACTGCAACGGATATTATCTTCAAAATTCAGCAGAATACAGTTACAGCTTTGATTTTAGTCTTAGATTTAGATTCAGATTAAAGCAATCTATATATATATATATATAAGGAAAAGATTTTCAATCATAATCACAGTTTAAGTTTTCGATTGATGATAATGGGGCGTTTTGCGCTGCTTCTCTTCCTAGCATTCTCGACAGTGCAGTTCCTCTGCTTCGCCGCTGATGGTGATGATGATGTGGTAATTTATTTTTATATAATTATATTCACATCGATTTGCTATTTTAATCTGTTTTTTTTTTAATAAAAAAAGTGTGATTTTTGTTTGTTTGCATTGGCTATAGGTATTCTATGATTCATTTGAAGAGCCATTCGATGGGCGATGGACTCTCTCCAGTAAAGATGATTATAAAGGTGATTTCCTTTTTCGTTTTCTGTTTTGTGCCATTTCGTGTTGGAGATTGAGGTTGTCTGAACCTCCGGATGTATCGTTTGTGTTATCGACACGTTTTTCGAAATGACCTTGTTATATGATCTTCTTATTAGATGTTTTTCGGGGTGACATGTATATCGATGTGGTTTTCCGGGTTGCAGGTGTATGGAAGCATTCAAAGAGCGAAGGGCACGACGACTACGGGCTTCTCGTGAGTGAGAAGGCACGGAAGTATGCAATTGTGAAAGAGCTCGATAAACCTTTGGGTCTCAAGGATGGGACCACTGTGCTTCAGTTCGAGACTCGCTTCCAGAACGGACTTGAATGTGGTGGTGCATATCTTAAATACCTTAGACCTCAGGGGTCAGGATGGAAGCCTGAGGACTTCGACAATGAATCCCCTTACGCTATCATGTTTGGACCCGACAAATGTGGGCTAACAAACAAGGTGCACTTCATCCTGAAGCATAAGAATCCTAAAAGTGGGGAATTTGCTGAGCATCATCTCGGTAACCCGCCGGTCGTTCCATCGGACAAGCTTACTCATGTGTACACTGCCATCTTGAGGCATAACAACGAGGTTAGAATTTTGGTTGATGGACAGGAGAAGGCGAAGGCGAACTTCCTCTCAGCTGACGATTTTGATCCTCCACTTATCCCTTCTAAGACAATTCCGGACCCAGATGATAAGAAACCCAAGGACTGGGATGATGATGCCAAAATTCCTGATCCAAACGCTGTGAAGCCAGATGATTGGGATGAGGATGCACCTATGGAAATTGAAGATAAGGAGGCTGTAAAACCGGAAGGGTGGTTAGACAATGAGCCTGAGGAGATAGATGATCCCGAGGCATCCAAGCCTGATGATTGGGACGATGAAGAGGATGGTGAATGGGAGGCCCCCAAAATCGATAACCCAAAATGTGCAGCAGCCCCTGGTTGTGGTGAATGGAAGAGACCGATGAAGTCGAATCCAGATTATAAGGGAAAATGGAATCCTCCTCTAATTGACAACCCCAATTACAACGGTATTTGGAAGGCTCGGGATATCCCAAACCCGAAATACTTTGAGGTCGACAAGCCTGACTTTGAGCCTATTGCTGCAATTGGTATTGAGATTTGGACCATGCAAGACGGTATATTGTTTGACAATATTTTGGTAGCCAAAAACGAGAAGGTTGCTAAGTCATATCGGGATACGCAATGGAAGCCGAAATTCGAGATCGAAAGGAGAAAACTGAAGGCTGAAGAAGCCGATGGTTCGGACGAGCTTGAAGGTTTCCAGGTAATGCATCTGCATGCATTCTTGTTATTCAAGATTTTATAACTTAAAGTTGGTTATACCTTTCTTGCAGAAGAAGGTATTCGATGTCATATACAAGGTTGCTGATATTCCTTTCTTAAGCGCATACAAACTTGAAATCCTCGTAAGTTTTTCTGTAACATGTTCTTTCATATGCAAATTAATGTTTCAATCAGCGGATATCATTGAATAAAACGTCGAGTTTTTTTCTTTTAGGATTTAGTTGAGAGGGCTGAGAAACAACCCAACCTCACCATAGGTCTCCTGGTCTCAATTGTGGTGCTCATTGTCACGGTTTTCTTCATGTTCATTTCTGGTGGGAAGAAACAAGTGAGTCTTCCGAACACGCCGTGAATGGTAACTGTGTTTTGGTTTCGGTTTGAATTACTCATTCGATAACGATGTGTGCAGCCGAGTGTAGAGAAAAAAACAGAGGTCGCTGAGACGTCAAAGGATCAAGGAAGCAGCGGAGAGAAGGAAGGTGGAGAGGAAGAGAACAAAGAAACGGCCGGTGCTCCCCGCCGGAGGAGACGTGAAACTTGAAACATGTCGAAGAAAAAGAAGAGAGCGTTGCTGGTGATTATAAGTTTCACTTTTGGGCAAAATTTTTGCTATTTTGGTTGGTATTTGTTGATTTTTTTTGGTTTCACTTCCGAATGTGCAGAGGTGTGAATGAAAGAAGAGAGTGTAGATGAGACGTTTTGTTGTTACTGCCTAAGCACGGTTTGAGCATTTGAAGTTTATTTATGAAATGACTGCCAAAGCATGGCTTTTGTCAATTAACTTCAAGCAACCCGATGGATGCCATGGTTGTTGAGACTTCGACAATAAATTTCAATCTGACAAGGCTTTTTCTCTTTACCAAAACATTTTACTACATATAAATTATAAATTTAGTTATTATACTATAATTTAATTGTAATATTTTCAAGATTGAACAATAAAAAGACAATAGAATTAAATTTAATGATATAAAAGAATCAAAGTAATAAATAAAAATTAAATCTATTATTTACGTGTGTTGTTGAAAAAATATTATGGGACGAGAAGTTATAGGTTAGTGACCAAAAATAGTATGGGTTAGTTATGAGTTTAAGTTTAGACTTTTCTTTATGCTATTAACGATAAAAGATGGAAGTTTATCTTATTCAAAATATTCAATGTATCAGAGAAAATAACAATTTGACAAGTGATATTAATCAAGCGAGTAATGAAAAAACTGGACATGAAATTAGGAAAGATTGTTAAGCTTGTAATAACCAAGCGGCCATCTATATTAGTTATGAGCTGACCAAACATGTACGATAACCAAGCAACCTTGGGTATTGCAAAGATACTGTAAATTAATTGGAAGCTCTTGTTGACCAAAGACTAAATCAACATATTTCACATAAAAAGAAAATTAATTATACTGGAGTACCATAAAACCCCAACCTTGAGTTGTTCTTGTCAAATATAGTATTTATCTCTTGTATCTTAAAATGATGGCTTTGATGTCTTTTTCTTTATGTTATCAAATTTAGTAGTCTGATATTATAATAAATTTTAAAAATTACTGGACCCATTTATCGACCCAAGTGATTAAAAAAAGAAGAATTGTTTTCCCATTTATATGATAGAATAAGAAAGATTCTGCACTGAACAGATATTACCTCAAATTTGGACAGAAATTTCATGTCTCCTGATGGTTATAACCGTGTCAATTTCTTGCGAATCCACCGGCGACCATATATGATTACTAAGAGGCTGCTTGTTTACTTCAAAATGATTAAGCGTTGAATAATTCAAATATTGAATGATTTAAAAACTCTGTATGAATTAACTCTAAATGTGACATGATGTTTGATAATAACTCTGAATTATTCAGAATGTACTTCTGTGCTAATCATTCAACACTATTTTGCTGAATCAGACAACACAAAATCATTCAGAATCATTCAGATGTGCAAAACAAACGCGTTAAATGCTGAACAGTTCAGCATTGAATGGTTCCATTAAGAGACAAACAAACAAACCCTAAATCAATTACTACACTCACCACACACGTGCTTCTAAAGTTAAAAATACACAAATATATCCATAAAGTAACTCTTCTTAACGGGGGCAAAATTGTCTCTAATGTCTCCCTCGCATGGAAACAGAACAGAAACGCGACAGTTCAGCTTATTTAAACATGTTCAAAACAAATGTCAGCCTGGCTACCAAAAAAAAAGTCACATTTAAGCAAGTTTACGTTGAGAATCTCTTCTAGATATTCTTACTACTACCTATATAACTAAAAGAACTCAATTGGGGTAACCCCAACTCCCAATTTAATTCTGTTCGGGTTTATCTGAACTGATAAAATTATTAATATTTTATCGCTTAGCAGCCCCCGTCTTCTTGGCAACGGCCACCGAAAGAGGAGGGAGATCCTCATCATCATCCGACCCCACATCTCCATACTGCCAAATGCCACGCCTACCGGTTTTTGCCTCCTTCTGGAAGTTCTCTAAATTGTCGATCACTGATTTTCTGTCCTTGGATTCCCACCTCTTCCTTTTCTCCAGCCTAGCTAATCCATCCTGAAACAGTAACCAAGCAGTGAATAAGTGATATACGAGCATGGTACAATAATATGCCCTACATGTCCTACTCAAATCAAACCTGTAGCATTGCGGCATTAATGCTGAGGTCCGACTTCTCAGCAACGAGAGTTACAATGAGAACGGTGCCAGTTCCTTGTCCCTTGACTTTTCCACCGGAAACATCTCTTTCTTCTATCATAGCAGTAAACGGCAGCGAGCTCCCCAATGTCTGCTCGCTCAAAAACAGAGCAGCCTCGCTACCAAACTCATCATCGAGGCTTGGAACTTTAAGAAACGCAAGACTGCATAACTGAGCAAGCCCGGGAGATGCCGCTACTGAAGGATCAAGTGGTCGTAATTGACTGTATGGGACCTCCTCTTGATTTCCATAATCAATATAAAATACTTCAAACTTGTCATTTGGAGATTGAACTCCTCCTCGAGGTGCATTGACAATCTTCACAAGAGAAAGGAGGAACACAAAAGCATGTCAAATGGCATACAGAGATGAATAACAAGCATGCATACAGACAAGCATAAAATGAAAAAGCCAACCCCAAAAAAATTTAAAATATAAACCATGTTTCCTAATATCTTGTTACATAGAGAACCTTATGCATTTTCACATTATCTATCATCAATTTTGAATATGTTTAAAAACAGAACTCGTCCTTCAGTCGGCATTTAAATCTTATTAGGGTGTTACAACCACAGATTTTATAAGCAAAGTCACAAGGAAGATTAGGCGCTTTGAAAAAATAAAAACATAAAGGATTGAAAACCAAGTAGATGGAACTAACCATTGCACGATTCCAGGAATTATCCATGCTAAACTGAGCAAGGACAATGTCACCCTTCTTAGGATTAAAAGCACCGATCACAGGAGCTTCTTGAATATTTAAAGATGCAAGCTGTTTTTGAATAGCTGATACTCTCTGATCTCCCACTGTCTGGACATAAAATTTTCCACCACCCAATACTTCTGTAACAACCACCTGAAAATAACAAGAAAAAGTAATTCGCCAGTTCATGTTAGTTAGAAAGCACTGTTTAGTTGAGTTCCTAGAGCACCTGTAGCAGTTCTTTTTGTTTGCTTTCGACAGCGGCTTGTCCATTGGAGACTTCCTCTCCTTCAACATAGTTCTCCCAAATCTACAAATAGAAGCGCAAAGATAAATAAATACAAACAGTTCAACTAGCACTACCAAAAGAACAATGGGGAAAAAGAAACGAACTGCTTCTTACTTTAAGCTTCTGCCTCTTGGCTGATTGCTCAGCCTGTTCAAGAAGATGAGCATCAGGAATCCTATCATTTCCAAATGAAGTTTGTAGCTTAGCCAAGCCAGCCTCAAGGAGCGTCACAGCCATATTGGTTTTCGACTCCCACAAAGATCCCAAAAATGTTCCGGTTCTATCAACAGTTTCAATTTCAACCTATGTAGAAAAGCATACATTAAACAAAACAAAAACGAAATGGCAGACAAGTAGTTCACAGAGAAAGAATGATACCACAACATCTCTCTGCATGATCTTTCGTCTCATCAGTGCTATGGCTTCATCCGAGTAGGGCTCCTCACGACCAGGACACCTGACACCAGAAAATGAAAAGGCAACACTACAAGTTTCCTTCGGGATCAGTAACTTAAAACGATGACCACTTAGGACAAATTCCACAACAGCTGGAATCCTGCCCCGATTCAAGAATGGCAGGAAATCTCTAGCTTTCTTGGCTGATGCCTGGTATTAGACAAGACAGACATATATGGAAGTTGGAATTCAGACAAGATATAGAAATATTCCGTCAAGAAATAATTAACATAAAAGGAGAAACTTCTAACCATTGTAAGGTCTTGTATATGCATGACTGGAGGATCCTTCGCAGAATGAATGCCTTTCTTTCCAGAAATAGAACGGGATTCAGCAGCCAGAAGGGCATCATAATAGTTTGATCTTTCCTCAAAATCTCTATGTCTTGTCACAGTGCCAAAGCCGCGTCCAACGACCAACTCCGCCAAATTCAAGCCAGGTTGCTGGTTGCCTGCTGTGGATGGAGTTGTAACAGCAACCTCATCACCATCACCCTTGATAGAAGACATAAGCAAAACTGAGCCAAAATCCATTACCCTTGAATCTCCAGGTGCAGCAGCAGCAGCAGCTCCATCTGCCATGGTGACCTTCCTGGAATATTCCATTTGTACAGTCACCTGACAAAAGCAAGTTGACAAATTATAAATAAATGTTCAACACTACCACAATAAGAATTGAAAAAGTATTCAAACCTGTTTTCCAATAAGCCGTGTTCTTAAAAACTCTTTTGCTTCACGGGCATAAGCAGCTGGCTTTTCATCTCTACGAGGATTGCCCATTTTTGGACATCTAATGCTTGAAAGATTTACTCGGCGCTCTGCAAGAGGACTTCCATAAGGGATAGAATCATCAGCCACAACAATGCAGTCCCCACTAACAACCTCCACAACCTGAGAAATTATACACCATAAATAATTACAGAAGCAATAACTTGCTAATACAAATAACATAAGAAATTAATTCTACTACCTTTCCTGTGAAATTTTGATCACGAATTGCCTTGGAGTTTGTAGCTGGTGGTACATAGTTTGTCCACATCCTCAGCCGAGCCTTCTTGGCTTGAAGTTCTGCAGACTTCAACCGCCTCTTGTTATCATCCTCCATCATATTTGCACTCCACTCAACATATTTTGCTAGACCCTTTATTTGAGAATAAATGGTTAGGATGATAGATGAGGGGATGTGGAGAGGGAGAGAGAACTCAAAATATATCAACACGAATTCAAGAAAAGGATGCATGCGTAGTTTGTTTCATAAAAATATATGGATGAAAAGAACTCTGCTTGACCAAGAAACAGTTTTAGTTATAAACCCATGGAATTACATAATACAGTTTTAGTTATCAAGTGTCCATAGTTGTTAGGAAAGAGAAGGAATGCTAGAGAGCTAAACCAAAACATTCAAAGAAAAAAATTAACAATTTGTTTTAGAGAACAGAAATCAAAGATTAAAGATATTTCAAGTTAATCCTGTTTTATAAAATCTTTTAAAGAAGCATTATTTAAAAAAAAAGTTAATCTTTAAAAGATATTTCAAGTGTACAAAATTATCTAGGAAGGAAACATGATCATAGAATCATTGTTATCAAGAAACTGATGTTTTGAGGGTATAAAAAATTCAGGCAT